TCAATAAATCTTCAAGATTTTGAAATAAACTTAATTTTGCTACAGAACTTCTATAGTATAAGAAAAAATAAATAAATGTAAAATGCTGGATTGTAACTTAATAATTTACCTAGCTTTAGATAAATTAAGGCCAGATTTTTTGGATTTAATAGCTCCTTGCTTTCTTCCAGACACAAGTACTTCTGTTGACTCAGAATCTTTTGTCCAGATTGTCGCTTTATTTTAGTTATATAGATATAAAATGTGTAAACTAAAAATTATATTATAAAATTATACATAAATATATTAATTGAGCAAAAATACCTATATTTGATGAAATCAAATCTTTATTTTGAAAACATTCTGATAGATAACTTCTTGACCTTTCAAATTTTATTAAGGAAGGAATTATAATAGGTCGATGTAATGAATACTCATGAGGAAGGTCTATAAAAATTAAAATGTGTAAATTTAATGTTAATCCACAAAAACTATACATAAAATTTTTTAGCAAAAATACTTTTTAGACCCTCTATTCTTTCATATAATGCTCTATTCAAATCTTTTAAATAAAACATATCACCTACAGTAATAGATGATAAATAAATAGGTGATATTAGTTCTGATAACAGGGCTGATTGTAATCCTACTACATTCCATTGAGCAATTTTATCACTATAAGATTTAAGAAATTATTAAAATTGATTTAATTGAATTTTTTAAGAACTATAAATGGTAGTAAATTGTTTATACCTGCAAGACATCGATAAAGTTGGTTCAGAATCAACCCTTCCTAAAAAATAAATTTTGTATAAATATAACTGTAGTATATAATCGCAATACACTGATTAAATTATTTTTTCAATATCTTTTATGCAAAATACTACGAGTCTCAATGCATCTTTTTTTAATTTTTGTCTACTTGTTATAAATGTAGAATGTGTATGTACTCAAAAATTTTCTTTCTTGCAACACAAATCTTTGGTAATATTATATGACCAATCTTTTAGTCAGCGCACTATAGTAATATAATATGTAAAGGTTCAAACCTGGTTTTGTTCTCAAGACACCAAAAGATTCATAATCAATTCTGCCTCGCCGAAATCCATCTTTCATTTTAAACACTTTAACTTTGTTATTAAAATCAGCAGAGATCTGATCTTCCATTACAGTATAGCAATTTTGAGAACCAATTTTACTACTATATGAGTTACTATATAGTTCCGCTTCCCTTGGTGACTGACTTAAAGCTGTACTTGTTACTGATGCATCTCCACCTAGCAAAACATTATAAATACATTAAAAAAAAATTTAAATAAAAAATGATACAATAATTGAACTCACAGGGTGCCTGACTTATGTACATATGAAAAGTAACGTGTTCTCTTAGTTTAAATGGAGAATAATTTGTATCATTCAAACAAAGATACGTTGATTCTGAATTTAATAATAAAAATTTCATTTCATTTATGAGAAACCTAAAAATAAATTTTATAAATGTGAAACCTTTTGTATATATCACACAAATTAGATTTCGTAAAGTTAAATAAATAAACACAAACTTTAAAAATCCTCTTCGAGCCAATATTTCAGCATGACTATCATGAATTAAACTACCAGTCTTGCAAAGTTTACTTTGTGGTAGACATTTTAGCCCGCTACTATTAAACATCCTCAACAAATAAGTTACAAATAAAAGTATACCCTAAATAGTTAATATAGATAAATCCCAAAAATATAATAAAAAAAAACTCCAAAAGATTTACCCAAGTGAGATACAATCAAGGTGATACTCGCCATAATCTATATAAAATAAATCTTTTATTAGGAAAAATTCTAATAAATGATTATTTGCTGACTACATGATTCAATGATTCGTCTACTAAATAAAATTAACATTTGACAATGATAGTTTAAACTATTTTAACTACTTTTAACTATTTTTATCTGTCGATTCTGCCGCATAATAATTATTTAGCATGAAAATGGTAATCTACTGGATAATTTATTACCTGTCATATGACACGCAACTATGCCTGCAAGTACAGTCCACTCTAAATCGTTTTGAAAAGCAACTGGTTTACCATTTTTGCCAATAGTTTTAAACTTTTGATGGGATATTTCCGTAATTTGCGAAGAAAATGTTGTTGAATTGGATTCCCATGGCTTAGTTCCCATGGCTTTGTAATTTACAATATCTGTTTGATTTGATAATGATAAAGTAACCTGTACAGCAAACCTTCAGATGATCGGCTAATTGTACAGTATTTGGTTCTATTATTTAGCATATCAGATGACTCTTTGTTAATCTTTACCAGGAATGTAGTAATGAAATTACGAAATATTTCAGTATGTTTAGAATGGCAAGAGCGTAAATCCGGTGATTTGATTGGCAGATGCTTACTATTTTTGAGTCAATGCGGTCATTGGATGTTCAACCATCGCACATAAAATCTTCAAAAAATTTTAAACTGACTACAGTATTTTTATAAATGAGTGACGAAAAGTGAAAACCTGTAAATCTTCTCACGCAATAAGTGAAATGATTTACAGGTTTTCCCTTTTCATCACTCAAATCGCTACTGAAAATAATAATATTTACATAGTTTCACCGTTGAAAACTGATTTCCGAAAATAATATCCGTTATTATATTGGAGCTTTCTGTTGGTTGACCAAGGAATAAAAATTTGTGGTTTTTAATAGTATTCACATAAATTTTGAATGAAGGATCTTACTAATACCGTATTTATTTTTGATTTTCGAATTCTATGATTTAATAAATTCGTAAATAACCTTAGATATTTATTCGCTTGTTTCATAGTTTTTATCACAAAAGATTTATTATAGAGCATTTCCTAGAATAATATATCCAAATTAAGTCTAAACGTTTCAATATCATTGCGTGAAATTTTTGCTTGTTAGGTTAGTAATTCTAATAAAAATGAACTACCGTTAAAAGATGCATTCTCCTTTTCGCACAGTATAAAAGAAGTTAATTGAAGTTTTTTTTTATTTATTCCCCACGTATTAAATGTAGTAAATTCTACATATACCGTATATAGAAGTTTATTTTTGTGCGGCAATATAATTTGATAACGTTGCTTTAATAATATTTATACTGGTACACACTCTTTTATTTTATTTTCCTTTACTTAATTAACATTAAATTCAAAAGCTATAGATTATTTATTGGAGGTTTTTTATTCAATAGGCTATAATATGAAATTGATTAGTCACTGAAAAATACAAAATTCCGGGGTGTATTCGTTTATGACTGGACAGAACTTATAATACATGAACAAATATAAGTGCGTTAAGTAAAACCCACATTTCATTTTAATATGATTTCATCAATTAATAAAAATGCGATGATTCAATTGGCGTAAAAAAATATATAACATAACTAATACTGCAATTTTATTCAACGATTTTTTTTCATGTAAAAATTCAAAAAATAGAGAGGCAGGGATTTATGGTCTGGCCTTAGCTTCGTGAAAACAAAAATAAATTTTCTTTCGGTCACTAATCTAAACATTCACCACTTTTAATAAGATTCAATAAGATAGATTTTAGTTCGCAAATATGAGGAAGTACCTATGCAAATATTTGTGAAAAATTACACGAATGTATTAGTAACCTTTATTTTTCGTACATCCACTGATTAGCTGAGTAATATATTAGTAAATCGATATAAGTTAACAATTGGATCAATTAATAATATCAATATTAATTATTAATTATTAACTATTCAAGAGGGCCCAACATCAATTTGTTATACTGAAAGATTTTTACGAATAATCACAAATATCACTCAAACGCGTTTATGCCATATTCCAAGTAATGTTGCCTGACGAAACTATTTTTGCAATGACGAAATGGTCTCTTCAGAAAACTACTAATGATTACGAAACTCCTTATTTGACTAATAAATATAGGGAATTGATATTTCCACTCCCTTTTTTGATATTGCCACACCCCTGCTATCTCTAACCTGCCAAACCCTAATAATCTATATTTATGTTTATTAACAGGAGTGTTGCAATATCGAAAAAGGGTGTGGAAATATCAATTTCTAAATATAAAATTCAGTTTCCCTTCTTTTAACGAGCCTCTAATAATGGCCTCTGGATAATTATTCTGAATCTTAAGTTTTTTTTCAAAATCACCGTTATTTAATTACAAGGTTCCATCCTAGGAAGATAAAAAATAGTTAACCCACTTCTATTTAATTAAATCTAGTAATTAAATCATAAATATCACCAATTATTAATTGTACAATAAAAATATTTACAATTCCTAGTTTCATCTGTGCACATGAAAATATAGTAATTTTTTAATTAAAGTTATGAAAAAAAAGTTTACTATATCAATAAGTTTAACAAAATTATGTTATAGGTTTACTTTTATTAAATGAGTGATGCCAAAAGAAAACTAGGGTTCAAATGATGTTCAAAGTCTGATTTTCTCTTGGCACCACCCAAATAATGGTCTTGTTTAAATATATATATAACATTATGCAATATTCAACTAATTCAATCTGATGTCTGTTAGGTAATTATAATTAATAATAAAGAATAGATTTAATTATTAAGAAAAAAGAATAAAATGTATACCTTGATAAATAAATTTGCTTTATAAATGTCAGCAAGATAAGATTATATACATTTACTTTTAACATCCTCCAATATTTTAGCTGAATTAGTTAATTCAGGTAAAAAATTTTCATCATTCTGTCATTTTGTAAGGATTTAATAGGTTTCTGTTGATTATGAGTGGTTTATTGGTTCTCTTTCCTAACGTTTCTTCATTAGGCTTACATAACATTGTGGAGTGTTCACAATAACCATTGATTGTAAATTATTGTTGGGGATGATGTTGATATTGGCTGAAGCTGAAAATTTGAGGGTCTCTATTTAGGTCAATAAAACCTACTAAAACCCACTTATACTTGTTTATTATAAATTCTACCCATAAAGCTAACCCTTAACTCTAAAAAAAAGTCAAAAAAATGTACCCCATAATTTTTTAATAAAATAAGACAAATTTTCAGCTTCAGCCAATTTCAGCTTCAACCACCACAATTATTACGACATATTTTTATTTGAAGTTGAATTTCAAAATCCTGATTGTAGAATACAAATGCTTCATATAAAATTTCCCACATAATTATTCCAAATGCGTAAATGTCTGATGCTGTTGTATATTGACCTTTTTCTAAAGCTTCTGGTGCTACGTACAGTAAAGTTCCATAAACATCACGACGTTCTGCCTTTAATGCTATGCTTGTTGTAATTGAAAGTCCTACGTGATAACATTCAAAATTTACGTATTTCATCAACTTCAACCTTATATTTAGGATTTCGCCTACAGGTTAAAAAAGATTGTAAATACGATATTGAACCAAGACGAGCGACTGTACAAATTCACCCTCACAGAAATTACATTCTGCGTATACGATGTATCTCACCAGAACCACCGCCAGTCTACCTCACTCAACCGCAGCGTAACTTACACATCAGATTGTCAAGAGATCATTACATATATTTGTTAAAAAAAAACTAACAAATATATGCTAAAAACATGTATTTAGTAAGAAAAAAACTTGCCATTTACTTTGGATTAGGAAAAATAAAATTGTATAATACTATCCGAAATTTTTTGATAATTCTCCTTATTTATATAAGAGAGAATCCATTTGTTAAAAGAAATCGATGTATAAAAATTTCCTTTACGTTTATTTATAATCTCATCGTTTACTGATTTTAGGAACCATCAACATCATTAATGATTACATTATTCGAGGTAATAGGAAGATGTTGTCCAATAAATTCTTGTAAAGACATTTTTCAAGATATAACTTTTTTTTTTAAAAAAAAAAAAATGTTTAAATAAAAAATCTTCGTCCATTTTTCTCTAACAATAATCTGCAATTAAAATAAATAAACCCAAGTAAATCTAATACGTTATTCTTTAATTCGCTTATACAACTCACATTGTTTTTAGAATGGCAAATATTCTTAGCTAGTTACATATCATTAAAACATATATACTGTATGTAATTACAGAATTACAGAGATAAAAATGAACACCACCAAAGGTTAAAAAAAAAAATCTTGATTTGAAGCTAATAAATTAATGGAGGTATCGGGTAATGTAGGGTATGGAAAAGGTTTATAGTTAGTTATCGTTATATGTTGCCGTTTTGCGGATATTAACTTTTCAATGTATCCTAAGAGAAAATTCTCATTCTTTATATTTATTACATATTGTTAGACCAGAAACACGTGATCAACGAGTGACGATTTTGTCATGGGATCTCCGTCGTACGACCCCAAGTCACGCCCTCCCGGCTATGAAGATCCTTATTAACTTGGGTTAACCGTGCTTATAATGCCGGCACCTTAAAAATAAAAAATAAATTGGTTATTGACAACTCTAAGCCGCTTTACGAACGATTCGGCTTAGTCGAAAAGGGCTTGTTATATTTGGCGTGTGGGAAATTTATGATCGTAGGTATTATTATGATGTAGCGAAAGCAGGGAATTATTATGAGACGAATGTTATTGATCACAACTATCCCTCTTTTCTTCGTAGGGTTCGAAGACTTTATTATATACTTTCTTTTACATAGGGCACATTATACTATTCGCAATATATCACTTATATTTGAGTGCTGTAGATAGAGATGGGACACTGCGCAGGCGGAATTTTTCGTGATAACGCAGAATTTAACAATTTTGGCCCGCATTAGCCGTAATGCAGGCCCGTGCAGGCTGCGCAGTAGATTCGAAAAATCCTCGATTTTCCCATCTCTAGCTGTAGAGTGAAAACCTGGAAGTGAATCTTTAAGTTTATCACTGTAACGGACTTTGTCTTTATATTATAAGACTAAGTTCGCTACAGTGAAAAACTTAAAGATTCATTTCCAGGTTTTCACTCTACAGCACTCATTTATTATCCTGTTTATACTAATCATAATTAAACTTATCGTTATACAACGTATAATACCGGTAAACTAGATGATCGACATAGCTGTTAATTCGTTACTGCGCCACATCGATCGCCTCCTTCCGGGATTACAGTCCTGCGGCTTACATTATAAATATCATGTAATTCGGCTCAAGTAATAAAGCGGATTTCATTACCTTACAAACATCGAATTAAGGGTTCTACGATT